TGCCACACCAACATGCTAAAGATCAAACAAACATCATGAACGGCTGAATTATAGTAAATAATTAGTTTTCTAAGACATGCAAAAGTGGATTTTTTTTTTGTATAAGGCAAAAAAATAACTGGTTATCAATAGTCTTATAGTCTTATTCAAAAGAACATGNAAGTATATGAATGAAACAAAATGAGGAAGAAATAAACTATTGTAAATGGAACTAGCTAGGGAATAGTCTCATTCTTTCATGTTGTCTGGTTGTTTGATTTGCAGTTGCACTAAACTTGGAACATACGAAGAGAACAAAAAGTGCACAACACATTGATACGGAGGATACATGAAAGGTCCCTCGAGATGCAGATCTTTATCGCTGAGATTCACAGATTTGAAGTATCCATCTTCTCTAATGATGCAAGCTTTTGGGCAGCGACAAGAATATTTTTCATAATATCCGGCTTTGCCAGAAAACACAACCACTTTCTTCTCCTCGTCAATGAAGAAGCTCATAGCTTCAAAGGAATCCACAAAGAAAAGAAGGAAAACGATTGAGCCGTGTGATATCCACTTTCAAAAACTTGCTCCAGGATACATCATTGGGTTCAATCTTAGTCGTAATCCAAATCTCTATCATGCCAAATGCCTCGGGGTATTGATATATAACAGTTTGTTGACATAACACAGCGAGCTGCTCATCTCTAAGTCTAACACATGATAGCATAGTCACAGTTTCTAAATCATGTGAGTAAGAGTCGAACGGCAAAGACAGATTATGTCCAAATCTCTCTGTTGTAAAATCAAAACATACTAAAAAATCTTTTCTTTTTTTCTCTCGAGCAACAAAGTAAGTATTTTCCTTCAAAGATACGCCGTTTCGATATGTATTCCAGTCAAAAATGACATCAAGAACCCTCCATGAATCAGAGTTAAAATCGTAGATTTCATATCTTTTATGGCCTTTAAAGTAGTCATAATCAAATAACCTCAAGATTTTGTGGTTACATCTGTTGTTGTCGTATCCGAGAACATGCATGTCATATAGTTGGAACTTGTTTACTGATTGGATCCCCTTCGTTTGCCCCAAATACGGATTCCATACCACGAGCCTCTTGTCGTGGTCTTTGGTGAGGCATAATAATAAGCCGTCACAGTGAAAGACATTATATATATCTCGACTTGATCAAGTTTACCTACTTGCTTTATAGACGGATCAACAAAGTCACCGTCGTTGTGGGTACCTTGTAGATCCAAATCCATTGAAAAAACCCTAGAATCAGTCATCATCAACCCTGAAAACTTCGTCCTTGCTGCTGAAGCTTTACCAACAATATGATTTTTTGATAAGTCGTTCCACTTTTTGCAAGTCAGTCGGAGTGCCCTCAGAGATGTCAATGGAACCCTAGAGAATAGCTCTCCTATCAACTCCTCTGGAAGATCGAACATCGCAGTCATTCAAAATTGAAAAAAATACAAGGTTGTAACAAAAACTTATATGTAGAGAAAGACTTGTAGGTCACGATGATTAGGCATCACAAGACACGTATTCTAATAAAATATATACTAGTATTTATTTCCGTTTTACAAAAAAGATTTGTTTTAAAAGTTATTTTTCTTAAAGTGTTATTTATGTCTTAATGTGACTTTTAACACTTAATTATCCAATA